GGCGTATTGTGGCCAGGAGGGCCGTCAGGAACAGAAGGCGTCCCCTTCGGCCGCCGGCTCTGGTGCTGGTTGCCATGGCCTACGTGTCGCAGGTAGTGGTCTGAGGCTCGGGCCGGTGCTGCGGCGGCCGGGCATCGTTCGTAGTGCCGTGGCGTGTCATGTTGTCATCTGCGAGAACTGGACTGCTGAGGTCTGACTGGCATGCAAAACTGAACATGTGCCGAGCGGGTGCGGGTCATGCAAACGGCAGTCTCCGCCCCTTCTCTCTCTGCTGCAACAAGAAAACAAAAACATGCAGAAACATGCAACTGTGCGGTGCTGGCTCCCCCCTAGCTTGTTCAGGCGTGGGCCTTCATTCGCTAGTTAAGTAGTCGTCTCCCCGCGTTGCGGGCTTTGCGCCTGTCTTTCAGTGCTTTGGCTTTCTTTGCGTCTGCTCGTGCTTGTGCCAGGTTCTCAAGCTGGGCTTGTTTCCCCGAACACCAGGGGGGGTCGTTGGCTTCAACGAACTTCTCCTCAAGCGCCTCCCAAGCAAGGCGGTCCTTGGCAACCTCCCCCCAATGTTCCCCTGCTATCGACACAATGTGGCGTTCCGTGTCCAGGCTGCTGTTGAAGCGGGCCGAGTGTCGGGCCCCAACGGTGTCTGGCAGCTGTTGCTGTTGTCTCCACCAATGCATCCCCCTCCACATGAGCATTTGGTAGGTGATGTCCCCCCCTCTTGCCACATGTCCCCAGACTCCCCAGATCATGCGCAGTATGTATGTCGACCAGCGCTCGACTTTGTTCTTGTGCAGGTGCGTGCGCGCCATTCTGAGCGAGCGCTTGTTCCAGTCTGTCCACGCCTCCCCCGGTGCCCTTCCTCCCCCCACCGTGCGTACATGCTGGAGCTGCTGCGTGTTGGCTTGCTTGAGCAGTGTTGTCTGGACTGGCCACGTCTCTGCCGCCCAAAGCGCGCTTTGTCTGACCAACACGTTGTGGAGTTGCATGCGGCGCTTAAGGCCGGTCTTTGCTGTGAGGAGCTGCTTGTTCTTCCCCCATGCTTTGCGGGCTCGTGTGCACATCTCGGCCGCGAGTTGGGGCGGTCCCCCTTTGAAGCTCACTGGGGACCCCAGCACTGTGAGCGCTGCGTTCCCCGTCTGGGGTTGTACCCACTGGCCGTCGATCTTGAAGCGCCGGGGGTGGCTGGTGCTGCAGATGATGTGTGTTTTCTTGGGGTTGATCCTGAGGCCGTGCTGCAGCAGGATCCTTTGCAGGATGTTCAAAGTGGCTTGAAGATGGTCTGGATTCTCCCCCCACAGGTAGGTGTCGTCCATAAAGCTTCCCCCGTGGTGGGGCGGGGGGGGGAGCTTGGGGTTGCCCCCCGAGCGTTCCCCCTTCTGGGTCTGGCCCAAGGTTTGTTGGAGGCACTGGCCAACTCTTGCCGAAAACAACACAGGAGAGTCTGGCGACCCTTGGCGCACCCCGTTGCTCTGTGGAACCAGGATACTTTCCCCCCCTGCCTCCACGCACACTCCCCTTGCTTGGAGAAGGGCCAGCCACAGGACGGCCTCCCAGGGGTGATCGCCCCCCATGTCAAACTCGACCAGATCGGCCAGGCTGGTCTGCGCCACGGAGTCGAACGCCTTTTGCAAGTCAAGTTTGATTATCCAAAACGTGCCCCCCCAATCACGAGCCATGCGCGCCACTTTCCTGAGTGTCAGGATGAGCTCCGTTCCTTGTCTCCCCGGTGATGCCCACTGCAGTGTGTTGAAGGGCTTGAGTGTGTAGGCGCATTGGCGGAGGAGGAGCTGTGCTAGGGCCTTGAGGATGGCGCTAGTGATCGGTCTGGTCTCCCCCCAATTTTGGGGGGTGGTCCCCTTTGGTAGGAGGATGGTGACTCCCCGCTCGACAGCTGCCGGCAGGCTCCCCGTATAGAGGGCGTCGTTCAGCATGGCCAGGACGCGGTGCTCCCACACTGGGTGCTGGAGCAGGGTCTTGAGTGCCTCGTGGGAGATCTGGTCCGGCCCGGTGCTCTTGTTGTTTTTCCATCGCACTGCAATGCCCCCGACCTCCTCTGCTGAGGCTGAGAAGGGCTGCCATGGTGTGTGTTTGCAGTTGCGTCTGAGGCGCTCCCGGCGGAGGTGGAAGTCGTGGTCCCGTGTGCGGCTGCTATCGTTGTCGAAGATGGCCTGGAAGTGGGCCAAGAGCGCCCCTTGCCAGTCATGTTCATCGGTCAGGACTGCCATCCACGTGTCCCCTTTGTCCCCCCGCTTGTGTTGCCGGTATGCGGGCCAGTCGTGTTGGCTGGCGTTGTGCTCGATGGCTTGCTTCCATTGCTTGTGCTCGCTGCGCAGCTGCTTCTGTACAGCTTTCCATGCCTGTCTCCTTGCTCCCCCTGGTGCCGTCGAGTGTGCTGCCCGCCGGGCTTGTTTGAGGGCTTTGCTCTCGATGAACCTGGCGTGCTCTTTCCGGCCTGCTTTGGTGATGGCGGTGCTGATCTGTGCGAGCTGTGCGTGGCGGTCCCCCGGTGCTTGTTGTGCTTGCTGGTTCAGCATCGTGTCGAGGTGCTCTGTGGGCAGGTGGAGGTGCCGTGGGCCGCAGTGTGTCGTCGTCTTGGCTGGCTTTGGGGCTTCCAGCCTGAGCTGCAGGATGACCGGCTCGTGGTCCGATCTGGCCATATCCCGCAGCGCCGCTACCTCCCCCTTCTCCGAAAAGAACCCCCGTATGGCGATGTAGTCCAATCTTCGGGGCTGCTGGGTGGTGTCGTAGGGGTAATGTGTTGAAGTGGTGAGGTCTTGTGGCGGGAGGCGCAGCCCGACCCGCTGAAGCCACGCAAGAAAGGCCTCCCCTCTCCCGGTTCGTGCCTGCGCTTGCTCGTGTTGTCGCTCGGGATTGTGCCTGGTCGGGGAGAAGGTCTCGTTGGCGTCCACCCCCATCATTGCTTTTTTTGTTCCAAGTGCGTGGCATGTCCCCCACTGCGTCATGAGTGCTTCGGTTTTGGCTATGGTGGCGTGGTGCGGTACGTGAGCGCTGAGCATCCCCCACTTCTGTCCCGACGCCCCCACCAGCACTGTGCTGACCCCTGCTGGCATGACCTGTGACTTGCTGTGCTTCCCCAGCGTTGTGCAGAAAGCCACCCCTTCGCCCCGCCATTCCCCTAGGACTTTGCCGTACACTAGTGTCCATTGCTTGCTGCTGGCAAAATGCCTGCCTGCTTCCGTAATAAGCTCCTGAAAGAAAACGACTGAAACTGAGGAGAGTACTTTGTTCCCCCCGAACGTCTGCAGCAGCTCCAGTGCATGAGCCGCCGTGAGGCCGCCGACGTTCCAGGTCGCCGCAACCAAGGGTCGTTGCGTTCGCCCCTTTGGGGCCCGATCGTGAAACTTGAATTCTCGGGGGCTGTCATCCCCGTACTCGCCGCTACTTTCGGTGGGTTCGGTTCCTCAGCGGAGGGCGGTCTTAAGCTCCCCCCACTCTGCTTCCACATCTGCGAAGGCCTGGTTGACTCCCCTTGCGATGGCTCGGAGGTTGATCCAGCCAGCGCCTGCTTCTTCTCCTTCCCCCGGCTTGGTTGTGGTGGCCGACGCCACGCGGACCGAGTTTAGCCACACCGTCCCCGTGGCCCATTCGGTCTCGACCTTCTCGAGCGGCGCCCCCAGAGACAAGCACAGTCGCTTCGTCTTCCCCGCAAGCTGGACTCGGCGGCGTCGTTCTGGTGACTGGGAAAGCTGCAACCACAGGTACTTGGCGCGGCCGTCTGGGTTCGCCCCCATCTGTATGTTGGCTTGGCGCACTCGTCGGAGTGCTGCTGAGAGGCGGTCGCGAAGCTGCTGGTGGTCCTCCCCGTCCTTCGCCTCGTAGGGCACGATGGCGTACCCCCTGCGAACCCCCGGGACGAAGGCTTGGTCGGTCGAGATATCCAGCCTGAGATCTTTGACCATCTGTTTCACATTCTTCAGGGTTTCCTCGGCCGGGGTGTCATCCCCCCATCCGCCCATAATGAGCGCGGGTTTACGTCCCCCAGTGTCCGTGTCTGCCGTGCTTGAGGCTGCGGTGCTTTGGATCACTTGCACCTTGTTCTCGAGGGCTTGGAGTCTGGCTGACACGGAGTATTGCTCCCCCTGGATGGCTTCCACCAGTCGTTGCTGTTCCCCCTGCTGGTTGGTGATGGCCGCCAGGCGTTCCAAGGTGCGCTCCAGCTGCGCTGTGACCCCCGTCTCGACACGGTCCATGCGCTGGTTGATCTCGGCTCGGAGTGTGCTGGTGCTCCCCGTGACCTCGCTGCGCACTACTTCCCGGATGGCCTCCAGGCTGAGCTTTTCTTCTTCCGGCGCCCCCCTCTTCTTCGGAGCCGGCGTCGAAGTGGGGTCCGTGGCCATTGGGTCTGTCATGACCCCCACACGTAGGCAAGGAATGCTAGGTCGCCCTGCTTGCCAATATCACGATCAGGTAGGTGGTGGTGTCCCCGTTCGAGGTAGGTGGTGTCCCGGATCAACGGGAGGCCGGCGAAGTCCTGTAGGTCCGCCGATATTGGTGGGGTAGCGGGCGTTAAACTCCCGAAGCAGCTGCACGTAGGCCGCCGACCCCGTCGTGGAACAGTCCCGACTATGTCGCTGTCCCGCACCCCCTCGGAGAACAGCGCACTCTGGCCTATGTCCTCGCGGTTACTGATGGCTGAGGCGGCTCGGCAGGAAAAGGAGGAGCCCCCGGGTTTGAGGCCTGCCGCTCCTAAGTATCAAGGATAGAAGGAGAGAACCCCCGGGCAGTGCAAGGAGCGGCACAGCCTTGAGTCTCTCTCTCTCTCTCTCTCTCTCTCTCTCTCTCTCTCTCTCTCTCTCTCTCTCTATATATATATATATATATATATATATGTAAGTATGTATGTATGTATGTATGTATGTATGTATGTATGTGTACGTATATGTATACGAACATGTATACACATATGCATCTGTATCTGTATCTGCCATGTGAAAGGACTGTGTAAACACGGCTATGGGAGTAAACCCAACGAGTCCAAGGTCCTTTCGCTGAGCCACACTGAGTCGCAGGGATCCAGCTGTGGAAGGAAGGGTCACGAAGTCCTTTGCGGCTGCAAGCCAGACGGGCCCAAGCACCAGGAAGCTCCCACCTCCTTCCATAGCGGCCTTGATACTTGGAATAGGGCATAAGAGGATAGCTGTAACCAGGAAAGGAAACGTATTTGCTAGTTATCCAGGCCCCCTTTACACTTCCCGATGTTCATGGGAAAGCCTGCAAACGACTTACTCTGCTTCACTGCATGTCAGACCTTTATCTGCTGAGAACTTACAAGGGCTTATCCAGGCCCTCCTGATTGTTGACATTGCTCATACTACTTACTGGTACGTATGCGGACAATCGTACCAAATTGTGACTAACATCATCCCGAAACCTCAAAAGCCTCGTAAACCTCGTCTTCCCTGCCTTTCAGCAGCCCTAAACCGTACGCTGTCCCGCAAGCCCAGAGCACCCGATACAGCCTGCGAGACCAACTCCTGCACCGCCGGAGTGCGGGAGGTCGGGGGCCAGGCCTGGCTACCACAGAACGTCGGCTGAGGCCTTGGGGCTTTCAGGGCCTGGGATTTAGGGTCCTAGTGTCTGTGGTTGAGGGTTTGCTGCTTAGGACCAGGATTTGCGGCTGATGGTTTGAGGTTTGGGGCCTGATCATCAGGCTTCGCTTTAGGAAGCCTGGTGGCGATACAATGACACGTACAGCAATTCTGATTCTTTGGTTCTGAGCAGAATGGAAGTACTACGAATATGTGAAACAAGGAGGCTGGCGACCATGGTGTTCATGTCAAAGATGCTGCTAGTGGCAACAAGAGTGACGGGACTATGCGCAGGAATGATAGTCATGATACACCGAATACCACTTGTGACTCTGTCTTCAGTCGCTCTCCGAGTTTGAAAGGCTTTGGGATGAGTTCAGGCAAAGCCCAGAGAATCGTCTACTGTGAAGCAACTCACTGGCGGCAAAACGGGCCTCAACGCGGAAGCGGTGATACCTGAAGTGGCAGCGGGAGAAGAATCGAAGAGCTGGTGAAAGTTGTCCTATGTGTATAAGTACATACATATATATGTATATGTATATATGGTAATGCCAACTAGCTTAAATACTTACTAGCAATATTCAACTCATATATCTACGAAGTGCCCTTTGTGGCTCCTTTTAACCCGGCCTGGCGGGAGGAGGCTGGCCTGGCAAACTTGCTCAAGGCTTAGCAGCTCGGGGGAAGGCCCAAGGCCGAGATTATAAAGAAACATCGAAGAGGGTTTGGAATCTATAGGCTTCGTCAGCTCATAAAGCGTAGAGAGTCAGAACTGTCATCAGGCTGCTTAATTCGATAGATCAGAAGTTGGCAATCATTCGTTTTGGTGATGGTCCTTCTGGAGTAAGAGACATGTTGAGAATTTCGCCGAGAATGCTACTCAGCACAGTAAGACGATCATGAGAACTTTCGCCTGCACTTTCGTCATGGTAACCATCATCGGCAACAAGCATCAACATCGTCCTGAGCATCAGCAGGTTTACCCATCATCGTCATCACCGTCCATCGTCGGAATCCTGTCAGGAACATTGGCAATGGCGGCCACAGAAGAAACTAGGAAGCACGCAGCAATGTAGCAGCAACAATCACTTCTACAACCGGTGGTATTGCTGGCTTGGCATGCTGTTCTCAAGGTAGTCCCACTTAGAAGGACTCGTGAAGCGCTCGGCCCGAAACTAAGCCGCAGACTCCGCACGAAACCCCAACACAGAACAGTAAACTCAAGCCAAGTTCAGAATCAAGTTCCGGAACACGTTCCCAAAGTCCATCGAACATAACTTCCGTTCACGTGGAGCTCTTCCTCGCTTGCCTTTGCAATGGTCAAGCCAGCCTGCCGGATCGCCGCTGCGCGCGCTGCGGCACAAGCCATGGGCCTCGGTCGTGGGCATGGTCGCGGCAGGAATGTAAACTGAAATGCTATGTACAGTATTGTGTGGTGTTACCTCATACAGTATCATACAATACTGTATAGACTTTTGTGATACTATATGATGGTATGCCATACAGCACATCTTAAGATGTTGTGAAGTATGAGATAGTGCTGCATCATACCATATAGCGTTATATGTCGGTATACGTGCATGTATATGTACATGTGTGTGTGTGTGTATGCATGCATGCCTGCTTGCCTGTCTGTATGTATGTATACATGTATGTCTCAATTTATATCCATTCAGTTCATCTAGAAATGCATAGTATGACATGGTAGCACAGCGTACGATAAAGTATTTCCTAGTCTGGTAAAGTAGTGCATAACATTGTATAGTGATATATAGCATTAAACAGTATTCTGTAGTAACATATAGTACTACAAGTACAGCAATCTACAGTACGATGTGGCATTGCGCCGTCTTACATGCTGATACAGTACTACTTGGTACTATGTGGTATACCATGGCTGGTCTACTTCATGTTACTTCTAATATGCATCTGCTATGCTGCACTCCTATGTCTCAACCTATGATGCCATGCTGCATTACGGTATGTCACCTTCCAGAAGCTACGGATGGGGAATCCATGCACGCTGACCCCTCACGAGAAAGGTCGGCCTGAAAGATCAGTACCTGGGGCCCGGATCATCCGCAGCAGTGGGAGTTACGAAGAAACATCATGCCGACCTATGTGGCCTGTGCTGCATGGCCGCCGCGTATCACATGCCAAGGCGCCGAAGTGCAAGGCTGAATACTGTGCAGACCAGGGTCCGAACCGGCAGCAGGCGCACGAAAAAGAGAAGTGTCCGCAGCACGACACTCAGCCGACGGACGAGTGTCTGGTTGTGCCTGCGGAATGCTGTCGGACGGTTGTGTCGGCCACGGTCCCAAACTTCTGGCTATCGGGTGGGGGTTCTTCTCATGGAAGAGCCTCTAGTCTCAATCGATGGAAGCCAGCTGCCAAATGCCTTTGTTCTGGCAGCTGCCCAGAAGTGTTCCACTGCATGCCCACAACTCTCACCTTCTGCAGCATCCAGGCGTCTACTGAGTCTACTGGCCTGTCTAGCTGGGCCGTTGGATCCGGCTGTGCTGCAGCCGGGAGGTACCTCGAGGCCAGTGGTCAGCAGTTCTCAGCAGTTGCTGCGAAATTCAGGAGATATGGATTGTAGAAGAGTTGAAGCCAAGCATTTGGGGCAGGATGGTTGCACAATCGCAAGATAGGACTGCTTCGAATCCGCTGTGTTTCCTGATATCTTGATTTTGGCACGACCGACAACCACGAAGCAGAATACACTACAGAACACAATAAAGTCTCTCCCCCACCCTGAAACTTTCGCATATCCAAGCGTTTGATCGATAGTCCTTTTCTGTATCCTCCTGGGCTCCGGGACGTGAAGGTCCATCGCTCTAATAGCTGGCCGGCCTGGTGTACGCAGCAAAATTCAATGGGACCGGTGGATGGGCGGCAGACATGATCATCAAACTTCATCTACACACGTGCCTGCAGTACTGATCATACATGTGCTGCACCACAACGGCGTTACTGTACTAGAAGTCTTGCATCCTCGAATGGCCCTGATCCGATGGGCGGACCTCCTCACCGGTTCCCTCCTGATGAGCTGTCATCTTGCATCACTCGGGGCGTCGGGTTCCCGTTCTCGGTGGCTCTAGACAGTTGCAAGCAACCTCGACATTCTGCGGCTCTGCGGCTGGCCGTGCGGTCTACGGTCTTGGGACACCAAACAGATGGTGTCCTCGTCTTCGCCGCTCACATAGATCTCCACCTGGAACGACCTGCAGGCAGCTAGCCGCTTAGCCTAACCACAGCCACAACAGTCTAGGAATTGCAATCCCGGGAGATCTGCACAAACTGAGGGGGCCTCAGAGAAGCTTTCGGCCCATTGATGGAAGACTGAAAGAAGCCTGAATTTCGAGAGGCATAATGATTAGGCTCTGCTGATTCTAACCCGAGCCTGGCTTCATGTCAGCCCATCATCTACCGAATAGCTTATGATCGAAGAGAGTCCCCTCGTGTTTGTCTAGACGAGCCCGGTGCTTCTCGCCTTTGCGTCCGGAGTTGAAAGAACTCGGCCCGAGCCACCGCCTCGTTTCGAACGTTGAACAGCTCGGGCACCTCCCAGCATGGAAGTGCAAACGCCCCAATCAAAACACTTCCCGGATGCGTCTGGTCATTCTGGCGGGCCAGTCATGCAACATGCACTGAACTGGACAAGAGCCCCCACTTCTCTCCGATCCCTCCGGGCGCTGCCTTCAAATTAAAACTGGCCGACGTCTGCTGCGGGGTCCCAGTCGGCCCTCGGTGTAAGACCGAGTACTTCACAGTTCTGTCCAGCTGAAAGGCACATCCTTTGAAGCTAACCGCGAACATCTTCAGCCTGATGGACAGCATAGCTTCGTGACATCGCGCAAATATGAGCAGGTGTTGAAGGGAAATCACCAACTCTGGAGTCAAGAGATCTTCGTGGAACCGGGACAACTCTGACATGAAACGGAGAACCCGGACCTGGCCACAAGAAAGCAGGAAGCTTCTTGACCGACTCAACCCTGGATCCCAGACCCAACAAAATCAAGCACAGTCAGGCTCCAGAAACTCTGCTTCCCTCAAATCGGGAGTCCGGCTCGGATGGTCTACCCGTGCGGCCAGGATGATCTCCGCAGCTTGGACACACCATTCACTGTACACCTGCTGGCTGACTGCAGAGCTGTGTGCCAATCTACGACTACACGGCATAGTGATGGGTCGGAGACTGGCGCACCACCCTGTACAGCACACACCAACTGCAAATGGTCTTCGAGGTCTCGGGCGGCTGCGGAGTCGAGTACAGAATGAAAGCCCTCTGCTCCCCATCAGTCTTCATCAGCTGTAATAGGCCCAGCAGCCCATATCCCTCTGTCCGGCCCAATTTATCTGTCTGAGTCTCGGACTCCTCTCAACCACTAAAATCCAAACCTTTGCAATCTTGATTTGTTATACCGCATGATATGCTAATGCGCATGTTGTTGTACTATATGTGATTATATTATATCAGACTGTGTTACACTATGTTATAAATATGTTATTGCTGTAAGTATCATACTACACCACGGTCGCCTTCTGAATTTCCCGCAGTCGGACTTGCCCTGCCGACATGCAGCCTGCAGTCCGCTTGCGCTCGAGATGGCTCGAATTCCTATCTGGATGAGTTTGGGGTGGGTAACCTACAGTAAAGCCAGAATAGGCTAATGATGGGGGCTTTGGCGTATATTATACTACAACAATGATAGGCTAATAGCAGGGATGGCGAGAGAATGATGCTGCTGCTTCTTAGGCTTCTGCGTTTGGATCTATGGCTTCGAGGTGGGATTGGCATATGCATATGCATGTTAGACATAGGTATGCATGCATGCATACATACATACAGACACATATATATATATATACATATATTGTACTACTGTAGCATCAAGTCAGATGTAAGGGGTGTGGAGGCAAGAGCTGAGGTTCGGGCCGGCGCTCTATGTACACGTGCACGGAGGCTTGGGGGGCTCTGGAAACTTCGGGATGAATGAAGGGTTCGGGAGGGAACTAAGGCTTAAGGTTGGGGGAGCTTTCTCCAAGGCTTCTTTTCAGCAAAGCCCGCAACGAAGCTTCAACTTCTGCTCTGGAAATCCAAACTCAGTATTAGGGAAACAGGCTGCTTCGGTTTCTGGTAATTGGATGACCCGATAGATGATATGCGCTGGAATCTCTGAGCCTCTCCTGCTAGCCGGGAAGGGTGCGAACCACTCGCTTCGAGCACTGTGCAGAAGTGCTTTCTTCTGACGGCAGCGTGGTACAAGATGCCAATAAGGGACCTTTTTGGCGTTGATCTCTGGTCTCATAAATGATGAGTCGATAAATCAAAGTTGTGTGGAGCTAGAGATGCGCCACTGAACTCCGCCCCTGCCCCATCGGGTTTCAGCCCAGAGCTCAAAGACCCTGCTGTATTTTGGCAGAGCTTCGAATTTTTCACCGGCGCGTGGAGACGAGCAAGACCAACCAGAAAATGCGGGCGAGAAGACGTCTTGAGGTGTGTTGACTGATGCCTCCAAGACAGATGACCCACAACAACAAGAGGATCACCGAAGTCATTGACATTTGACCAGCATGTCACATGAGCTCTGCCGTGTGCAAGGTCTAGGTGCGCCACAACACCCTAAGATGCCGGAAGAACGAAAAGCGTTACTGGTTCCGCTGCTGAACCAGTCGTAGCACGATGCAAGGTAACAATGACCTTATCATACCTTATCGTGGCTCTCATGCTATGCTGGGACCAACTATGTGGAGATAGAAGGCCGCCGATGGCATTCGCCGTCATAGTAGTTTCGGCAAGGCAGGATTGTATCAAGAGCAGTACTGATAAACACAATTAGTACTGAAAGAAAAGAAGTGTAATCACCATGGTGATGACAACAAGGTTTGGGTGAAGGTCTGCCGTCTCCACTCTCCAGCTCACTCTGTGCTTCTCAAGACCCAGCTGGGCCACATCGGCGCAAGCTCCAAGCAACCCTTTGCAGCCCAGGGTCTGAACCCCAAGGCTCGGATGTTCTTAGATAAACCAGGCAGTTGCAGTGCACTGCTGAGCTGGTGAGAGGCTCATGTATGCGATGCTTGACTGCCCTTGCAGCACCAGCCTGAAGGCTTTCGGCGGAGGGAGTGGCGTCCCCGGGCTCTCGCAAACCCGTTTTTGAGTTTCCTGGAAATACCCGGTGAGAGGCTCAGACCATAGTGGCCATTCATCGTAGCTCAGCAATCCAAGGCGAGGACACACCTGCAGAAACCTGGAAGGCCAAGCCTATAACGAACAACCCCGATGCCTAGCATTGATTCAACAGACTGCTGGCCTGGAGTGCTAGCTAGGAATGGTCACATGCCTGCTATCTGTTGCCCTATGTCACAGGCGCAGGCCAGTATATATGGCCCGCCGCAAGACAACAAGAGGTGTTTTCCTCTCGTTCCTGTGCCCGCAACTGCTGATTCCTAGAAGCTACCACGTCACCGAACTTGTCATTCCCAAACCCTAGAGTGTCCAGAATCCAGGAGTCTATAAGGAGCACTGCGAAGCTTTGCTGGAAACAAACCCTAAAAAAACCCTACACCGTTACACCCGCCTACCCGGTAGCCTGCTGATCCATGAAAACAGGCTCTCAGTGCTAGCGTGGGGGCGGCATCCTCGCGGACATGAAACAAATTGCAGCTCTAATGAAGGTATGTTGTTGTTGGTGGTGGTGTTGTTGTTTGTTTGTTTGTTTCGTGGTTTCGGGTTGGAAGATCCTCGTGGAGGATTTAAGCATCGGGTGCCTTGGCGTTTAGACCTCAAGCAGGCTACGCACTTCGTTCCTGGAACTCATCGGGTTGCGCACATCACACACAGCACCATTGGTACATGCAGTGACTGCACGCAGAAACGACATAAGCATTAAACATATTGGGGCATACATATTTTCCCCACTCCCACCAACCTTCATGGGGAGCGCCCTACAACACCTGATGACTGCTTGATCTCGGATTCATCTTTGGTTGGAGCTCCTCGCAGTTATTGCCGGAGGGTCTTAGAAACATTGTACCCAAAACTGCAACTTGTCTAGCCGATCGAAAGAGCAGGCAGCAGAGCCCAAAGCAGAAGCAGACGCTTCTTGTTGCTCCACGATCTTCCGGAGTGCGCCTTTGCTGCTCCCACCTATCAACATCTCTGAAGCCGTTTGCAGCGTCCATCCTCGGCCCCGCGTGGGCATAGACCGGCGGAGGAGGTGCTGTGGGAGGGGGCGCCTGGCCGTTTACGATCAGACAGGGATGAACTAGAAGCAAAGAGACACTCAACCGCAAGCAGAAGCCTGAGGGGCCTCGGAGCTTGATCTCCCGGATTTGAGTCTGCTCAGCTTGTTACTTTGGGGTCTAAAGAAAGCCGTGTTGAGACCTACGTACTATGATCACACGTACTGCATGCTTACACGACGAACCACGCCGGGATGACGCCAGGATAGCCTGCGAGACCAGACTGCACACCGTCATGGCAGATTGTCCAAGCAGTCACGCTCGAGCGTCTTGGTTGTGCTTCGTCACATGCTGATGCTGCAACCGGTTCCTCGAAACAAGCCTCAAACACCCGACGGCAATGGCAGTTGGATGAACTAGAACCACCCGCCGGCACTGTCGGCACTGCGAGACACCACACCGCAAAGGTGCAAAGGAAAGAAAGACGACAAGTGCTACAAGCAGTATAATTGTAACTAACTTTAACATGCCCACTACCGTTATCTATCCATAAACACTCACTCTTGTAGCACATCCACCACCACCACCACCACCACCACCACCACCACCAATGCCACAGTGAGTAACGTGAGACCAAACTCGAGCCGCCTCCTCGAGCAGAGTGGAGTGCGGTCGACAGGCAGACAGGTGCAGCTTCGTTGGCTCACTCGGAAAGGATTGGCGCGGGCAAGGTGGGCTTGAGCCATGCTCTTGAAATGGGTTTCGGATTTAGGGTTTCGGTTGAAGTGATAACATCAGGACACGTGCTGCACGATAGCCATGCATTGCGGCTCAGCGCCCATGGCCTGGCGTCGGCAGGGGAGGGAGATGCCCGTGGGCCCACGGCGGCGGCCTCGTTGCAGTCATGGCGTGACAAGGCTGAGGGCTGCGGTTTGCTTCCTATTCCGCCGCCAAGACTATTGACATCTCCTTTGAGTCATGCTTCCGTGTGATGGCCACAGGAACTCTCTTTTTGAACCAATCTCCGTTGCTGGAAATTGCAGTACCGTTGTGGTGCTCGCGCCGGGCTCAGGAACCAACTGATCCCATGACGGGGTCCAAGTCTCGATACTTCATACCACAACTCCCCACCCGGCCCTGAAGACTCAAACCACACTGTGCTCCTGAGAATGATAAGTCTCATATGGGCCCTAATAAGTAGAACACGGTCTTTGGGCTCATTCTACCATAAATATGATAAGAAACCCCGAAAATAGTATAGGTAAGCATTAAGGCCCCTATATTAAGTCTACTCATGCGCCTCGGGTCTGGTGGCGGCTGGTGGTATCCGTACCTTGGCATCGAGCTCACATACATAGACGCCTGGAGCTAGACATGCAAATTGCGGCCTGCAGTATGATATCTTCTATTCATACTATGATGCTATTCGTATATAGCAGTATGCGGTCTTCTAGGTTTCTATTCGGTGCTGTACATTGCAGTTCTACGTTAATTAACTCATGCCAATGTACGTTATACCGATCTTGCTGGATTGCCACTTATCCATCGCCTGTGTCACCAAGGAAGGATCTTTGTCTTCGATGACACAGCGACATGGCCTGGACTTTCAACGACGACGGTCTAAGTCCAAGGCGCCTCTCAAAAGGCAAACACATCACAAGCCCTCAGCAAGGCCTCTAGCACTCATGGCAGGTGCTGGGCCCAGTATGCATGGGATCTTATATAGTGTTTCCTGTGTATGGTTACATACTGCTTGATTCGTTCGACTGCAGAATCTTGCGACATGAAGACCATATCATAACGTCTGTAATCCACAGCAGGATAGAAGCAGAGGCTACTGTTAAAAGTCGGCCTATGGGGCTCGCGATGCAGGACCGAGACTATGAGCATTGCCTGGCTCTATCATCTTCTTTATTACTCGAGGATGATGGTGGTGATGACGATGATGGCCAGCTACTGTACGCCTTGTTTTCATGATCATCGGCCCTTTGTGATGATCGTTGCGGCCGAGTGGCGGGTCGACCCCTGCGACAGCAGCGGCAGCTGCTGCTGCCACCGCCGCGGCGGGATCGTATGGCCTCCGAGACTCGTCAAACAAGGCTCTGCAGCACGTTTTAGGAAGAGAGTTCTCGCGGCCAGACCACCTCTGTGGTGTGATTGGTGATGAAGCTTCTGTCTCACAGAAATGTGCTGCTGGATGTATCACTCTACGTTCAGACACTTTTTGGCTCCGGGCGCGGCAGCCGCAGCGGCGGCCGCGGCCGCTGCCGCTGCACCTGCGCCATAGCCTCACCGTGCAGTCGAAAGCAGATCTCCAAGTGCTGAGTCCTCAAAGTCTGCTCTCGCATAACTCCTTGCGGCTGGTCTTGCCTCTTGACATCTAACCCAGAAGACAG